ATTTTTAAATTTTAAATTAAATTTTAATTAAATAAAAAAATGTATTTAAAATTTAAAATTTTAATTTATTTTAAAAATTGAGATTGAAATGTATTTTTTATTTTATTAGTTATTAATTATATCTAATAATTAAATTAAATAAAAGTAATATTTTTTTAAAAAGAGTTTGGAAATCTTATTAGTTATTACTTATTTTTTACCATTAAATTAAAAACCTTATTAATTATTCTCAACAATCAAATTAAAAGCCTTAACAAAATAATTAATGACAGTACACACCCATTCTACTTCTAGATCTAGTCCAATTGGCCTAAGCATATGCAAGTAATACAGTCAGAAAAGGCTACTTCTGCTTGTATGGTTTATCATTATCTGAATGGAGTTCTTTGTTTTGAGGAGTGCTAGGGGCACTCGCCTTCTGCACTCTCCGGCCAGCACTTTCACTTTTATTGGGCCACGTTATTCTCGTCGGCAAGAGGTTGCACTTCAAAGTCTGAAACAAGCTTACGTGGCCCAATGAACTGTTAGCCGGAGAGTGCAAGAGGCGAGTGCACCTAGCACTGCTCTCTTGTTTTTGTTCTAAATGGCTGACAGAACAAAGGTTCCAAACACAACCATTTGGACCGAGAGCCCAGATGCTTCAATCACAATAACTGAATTGAAACCTGTACAAAATATAGACCAGTATGAAATGGTTTTCTCCTACACTATTATTTATTACCGACGCAAGATCATGGTGGATGACTGTACCTTTCTCTCTCCTCTTCCATAGTAAGCAGTATAACTCCATTTCAAAACCCTCCTAAATTCTGTCAATGATCTTGCAAGAATATACAGAACACAATACGACAACATAAATTAAACAAAATTTTTAACTTAAAACGAGTTCTAACCGCATCATGGGGTCATGGTTACTAGTATAATGTCATCACAAATAAGAAGAAAGGGGATCATCTTAAGTTCCTCATCTGAATTCCAACTCTGAAATCGGACCTCCAAACCTCAGAATTGCATTTCATTTTTCTTCCTTTCTTTTGAAATATTTACTGCTCACCAGCCAGCAATTTCTTCAATTCCTTTTTATTAACCTGTTGTAGGACAGACAAGTGTTTGAATGAAACAGCCTTTCTAGGTTTTTCCCATAGCATTAGAGAAGGCAATGAAATGATGTTTACTTGCAAAAATAATAAGCAATTTTCCAATAACCAATTAGCAAAAGTAAACAAAAATGAAAAGAGTTTGAGGGAATTTACCTTTCCCATAGCATTGCGAGGCAATGATTCCCACAAGATTAAACGAGTTGGTAGCTGGAAACAAGTAAAGAGAAATGGAATTTAAGTTTATGCTCAGCTGTAGAGGGTGTTTCGAATGTGTTGGTACTTAGGGTGCAAGTTGTTAAACAGTATCATTGTTTAGCATTGAATTCTTTAAGACTGGCACTTATTCAACTGGTGCATTGGCAGAATTCAGAATGACATTAAACTTGAAAGTGTAGACATCTAGTTTGGTTTATCATCTTTCTTACGGGTTTTTTGCAACCACTAGTCCAACTCTCAGACAATAGAGCTCATACTTGAATTTTCACAGAATGGGAAGAAAAACGTGAGATACGGTAATACTGCAATACCTTGTAGGGTGCAAGTTTGTCCTTAGCCCAGGTGCATAGTTCATCCAAGCTCAAAGCAGGTTTCTTCTCTTCCTCTTGTTTTCTTTTTGCTTCTGACTCCAGTACCAATATTGCAGTGACAGCTTCTCCATAATCCTTGTCTGGTAGGCCCAACACACAACATTCGGCAACATCTTGATGCTGCAGAGGAAGTTTCAGTGGCCATTCTCTATATCAGCACAATTTTTATCTTCTATTTTTTTTTTTTTCTCTTTTTATTATGGAGAAGAAACTTTGAGGAAAGCAAAGAAATGGATCCTTACTCATGACCATAAAACTGGAACAAAAAAGATGGGATGACTTTACCTCTAAAAGAACTGATTCGATTTCCAAGGCAGATAGTTTGTATCCACCAACCTTCATAATATCAGCACTAGTTCCTGAAACATTAATTAGATGAAAAGACTGAGAAGAATTAAGTAGTGACATGGATGGATATCAAGGAATTTGTTGATGTATGCTAAATAATGGAAATGCCCAAGTTCCTATGATAATAAAATAACAAAGGTAGTAGGTTAAAGCAGCCTTGTAGCTGGACCTTAAAAAGGATATTTACTAAGCTCATGTTTGGCTGAAGTTGCTGCTTGAAAATAAGGTGAAAATGAGGGGTATAATGGGAAAGTGGGAATAATGAAACAATAAGGTTGCCTATTTTCTTTTATTTTGTGGGGTAGGAATGGTTATTAATGCTACCAACTCCCTGTTAGCTTTTACATATTCCTACCTTATTTCAACTTATTAAAGAAAATAGGCAATTTTTCTCCCACTTATTGTCACTTTATCAGTCTCCTTCTATTTCAGTTTATTTTGTGCAATAACCAAAAAACAGCCATTCCATGCAACAAACTTAAGCCTAGTTCTTATAGCAAATATTCAGCACAGAAGTCATGACAAAATATATGGCACAATATGCTATTATTTCCATTACTCTGTTATGACTTCTGGAGAAGATATGTATATATGTATGTAAATATATGTGCATGTGTGTGTGTATTAAAACTTATTTCTAAACCTACAGAAAACAAGCCAATGCATGTAAAGTATTATTGATCATCTAGTTTTAAAAAACAGAAGAAATTCCCAATGTAATGGGCATATTCCAAAAAGAAATGGCATGTTAATAACAATATGATGTGAAGGGCAAACTAATATCCTTACGTCCCAAAATGATATAGTACCCATCTTCATCCACTCTGCCAGCGTCTCCAGTCTTGAAGAATCCATCATCAGTAAATGATTCCTTAGTGACCTATACAGAAGATCAGCAAGAAAAAATAAAGTTGATGACACTTTAAACTGTATGATTGAAGCATTTTTCAGAATCTAATTAGAGTGCATGCATCCTGTCAAGAATTAGAAGTATATCTCTAATTTGAGGATAAAGAAGCAGAATACTAGGGACTGCATCTTCAACAATAATACTGGCAGAAAAAAAAAAATTGGATAGTTTAATGGTCTACTCAAAATTATATAAAGAAAAATCAGAAACAGGAGAAGGGAGCTTGTCTAAATTATCATTAACAAATAAATTTGAGAAAGGCATAAAGTTGTGCAAATCACAAGGTTGACTAAAATTTTCAGCTGAAATCAGGAAATACCTCAGGACGTTTCCAGTATTCCTTAAATAATGAAGGACTTTTAACACAGAGCTCACCCACTCCCATTCCATCACCTCCACTCCTATCTTCCGCAATCCTGACCTATTGCAGATACAAAAATGGGTTAAAGAAAGTTACAAGAGAAAAGCCATAGAATAGTTATTTCTTTGGAAGAAAACTATCTATGGGATTTTCATGTTCTCATTTCCAGAAAACAAACAAAAGAGCACACTTTAAGTCTCAACTTAAAAAATAAATAAATAAATAAATAATAAAAAATAAAAAAATTAACATATTAGCATAAATGGTTCACTGTATGATTTGTTTATTTCTCATTAATCTACATTTCATTTTGCTTTTTTTTTTTTTTTCCTTACTAAGTAAGAACAACTGCCAAACGACTAACATGAATACCATGCACATACTCTTATGAAACATGTATCATGCCTACTATTGTTGGAATTTTACTGTTCAAGAATCTTGCTAACCTCCACACCCAGAAATGGTTTGCCAACAGTTCCTGCCTTCCGCGCACCCCTTAAGGGATTTGATATTGCCATGACAAACTAAGACATACATCCACCCAAATAGCATAAAGCACGTAAGAAAATTTCTAATAAATGATGCTAAGCAACATAAAACAGTATTAGAATGCAGTTCACTTACCTCAGTCATGCCGTACCGTTCTAAAAGGCGATGTCCTGTGATGCTTTCCCATTCTTGCATGACAGGCTGTGGGAGCGCGGAGGACCCACACATCTAGAAAACAGGAAGTTACATTTAAATCTTTTAGAACTTGGACAATTTGACACAAGCTTTTGCCAGAGACTGCAGAAAAATGAGGTATGGAGTATTGCTGACATGATAGTAAGGACAGGTAATGTATAAAGAAGAGATCTATTATTCTAGCTGACACCCTATCACCAACCCAAAATTCTATTTCCTAGTTAGACATTCAACAAAAATGTCCTCTGACAGTTTTCCAGATTCCAGGCTACACACCATAAGACGCAACTGTCTTGCAGCAGAAGCAGATGCAGCTTGTAGCTCTGGATCCATTGCATCGTATCCTTGTATCAATCGAGTATACATTGTTGGAACCTACATAGTCACAAGCAACATAAATTGTAACAAGATTCGGCAATGACAATACATCAGACAGAAGCATATATCAATGTAAATTAGACAACGTAAGACAAAAACGAAAAACAGTTCACGTTGCACATTAATGTTTCCCCTTTTTTTGAAATTTACTACCCACAAAAAGCAATAGGTTGGTATGAGGTAAGAAATGTATTGTGAAAGTAACAGACAAGTTACAGCACGCACAAATCAGTACTATTGATATGGTTCAAATATGTTATTGGAATGATAAAAACTTATCAAAAAAGTCTCCCATGTTATCAATATTAGGAAATAGAATATTTTAAAGAAAGAGCAAGAGCTCCAAGTTTATCTATGGTTCTACACTGGCAAAAACATAGTCTAGCCTGTCAAATGAAATGATCAACCAGCTTCATATACAAACTGAACTTACGCCTGTAAAAACAGTAACAGCATCACTAGCCTTCATCCCATTTATTGGATATGATTCACGCCATCTCTGCCAGATTCCTCTTACACTGAACTTTGGCATAAACTCAACCTGAATCAAGATGAGTAGACATATTATGACAAAGACCAGAGTAACTAAACTGAGATTTTTGGATGGCCTCTTGCACCACATAATAGAAGTTTAGAAATAATATTATATTTTTTAAAAAATAAGGAGGAGGGAAACCCATAGTTGTAGAACTAAAAAATGAAACAAATATTGTGAATTACCATGGAACCCGCATATAATGGAGCTAGAAGAGCATTGAAAAGTCCATGAACGTGTATATCATGAGTTAAGGATTGTGAAAAAAGAAACAAAACTCGACTCAGGAATCTTGTATGTTGCACTACTGATGGTCATGCCAGCAGAAATGGGAAGCATAATAGGCCCATAATTATATGGAATAGTTGCTAAAAATTCAATAAATGTTTTTATGGATATGATGTAGCGGTAGACAATGAAGAAACTGATCAGCAGATGTATACTCCCAAGCTTCTGTCAGTGTTTGGACCTGCAACCAAGAACAAGTTGGGGAGAAGTTAAGCACTATACTATATATACTATATATGAGTTTCCAGAATGCATTAATTTTCAGGGCATGTGAGATATAAAACCAAAATTACCCCCATGCTAGTCAATAATGTTTAGACAATTATTCCAAAGAAGAGTCATCCAGAGAAAAAGGACAACTATTTGATTTTAAGTTCCTTTCTATATAAATAATTATATCACGAAATTGTGTAGCATTAAACAAGAACATACATAAAATCGGCATGTTACATAAGAACCTTAAATATAGAAATTTAGTTTAAAATATTAGGTTAAAGTATGAGGCTGCTAATATTAGAGAAAATTGTATCTAAACATTAACGTAGGCATCCAAATATATACCTGTGCAGTTATGCTTTTGTGAGTATGAACTACTCCTTTAGGTTTACCAGTTGTACCACTAGTGTAGATAATCAATGCTGGATCCTCAGCTAAACCATCAAAAATGAAAATGAAAAGAAAATGAGGAACAGATAAACCTAAAGACATGCTGCCCAAATTCTCAAAATGCAAGCTATCTATCTCACTTGAGCTCTGAATATTACCCATCAGACTTTCATCCACATCAACTTCTCCAAGCTGTGATTGATAATGTGCATCTGTTGATGATGAAATGCTAGGAACAGGAGGAATGAGAGAACATTGCACTTTACTTTTAGCAGCAGCACTTTGCAAAATCTCAAGATAGTCCTCGGTGCTCAATATAATGGATATATCCTGAAAACAAATAAATACCATGGTCCTATTGAAATTGATCAAGATTGAAAAGAAGGCAATGTAAGATGGCATGAAAAGGTAGAACTCCTGGCATACATGGGCTCTTTTAGCTCTGGAGACATGCTATCAAATCAATCTATGAGCTTGTCTACCATATATAACCACATATAGCAAATTTAACACTAATAAACTGTTCAAAAGGATTCAAGTAGAAAGTAGAGACTATATACATCAGAAAGATTGCCAAAAACTCTTTGGGTCAAACAGTTAATTGCAGTTGAAAATAGTAATATGTAGGTCCTGGATATGGGACTACTGTCATTCCAGGTTAGTGCATTTTCAGGATGTCTGTTATAGAACTCATAGAACTTAAATGCATGAAGCTCTCTATAGGTATTTTTTTGGCCAAAATACTCAAGATCTTTGAAGAGTAGGAATTGCTTATAATATTGATTACAAGTAACAGGCCATCCCACCCACTAAGGTAGAGCTTAATATGAACAAGAGACTTGCTAGCAAGTAGGATCAAGTTGCTTGTGCATAAAATTTGAGCACGTACCAGTTACTCTTCTGGTCATGCATGCAGATTAGCAAGCCACAAAGAAAGCTATTATAAATGAATGATGGTAAATAAGCAACTTTAGGGAAAACAGAAGCGACATCAGGGCATACCGAATCATTAATCACATGTAAAAGCTCAGCTTCTGGATAGCTGAGTGCAAGTGGAACTGCAACACCTCCACTCAACCAAGTTCCAAGTATTCCAGCAACAAACTCAGCAGAAGGTTTAGCCACAATACCTATCCGAGCTCCCCCAAGAAGAGAATTTTCATGATTCTTAGCTTCATGATTCTGAGTCATCAGCCAAAAGGTTTTAGTTAATTTGTTGGACAATGTGGCCCAGCACAGAACCATTTACACACATGAACAACCAACACATTTCCAAGGTCAATTCAAGCAATTGGAAAAAAATCCAAAATCTATTGTGCATCGGATCATGCACTTTTATATTCATTTACTAATCCAAAATAACTAAAAAGTTTTAAGATTCCACAATTGGAAATGAATACACAATTTCCTCAAGTAGTTGCGCGAGAGTAACAAAGCAAATCCATCCAAGCTCACATTTTTCAAGTCAAAACTAGCCAACAGCCTGGATATATGTGATGCAGAAGACACAAGTTGCGTGTAACTATATCTCCTTTGATCAGCTCTGATGGCAATTGAATCCCGCACAGCAGATCCCTGCCTACAAGTTGCTTTTACCACCTCCATGAATGTACCGGATTGTGATGCTAGAAAAAGAAAAAACACAAACATATTTGAAGCAATGAGATAAAAAATTGAAACTCAAACACATTAAATTTATGATTTCATCAACCAAAAAGCCAATCCAATTAGCAGTTTTACACACTCGAAACTCAATTTCCATTCAGGTAGAGTGAAAATGAGGACGGTCAAGAGAAGCAAGTCTAATCTTACATCTAACATTGTGAATTGACTAAATTCAATCAGTTTAAAGCATTTCATCCATCGAACTCTTGATTTAAACAACTGAAGATCCATAGATGCATATAAATTCAGCTCGAAAGCAAAAGAAAGAAGAAGAAGAAGAAGAGAGGAATTTACTAACAGGAAAGAAGGCGCGACTGAGAAGAGGAGAAGGGGGAGCGGAGGAGAGGAAGAAGAGGAGGAGGTGGGGAATCATAAAAGCGATGGGTGAACTGAGGACAAAGGTAGTTGGAGAGAGTGAGAGGTTTAAATGAGGAGCTCCTTCTCATCTAGTAGCACCCCTGTTAGTTATTATTGATTGCGCAGGGAATTTTAGGTGAGTTCTTTAACCAGCTGCGGAATGGGGTAGGCTGTAGCTAGCTTTCTCTTGTTTGTCTGTATCGTGAGGGTTGAAGTGGAATGGTGCTGACAGTTTTGGTTTTGGAAGATTGTTGGGGGGAAATGTGGTTGATTACCTATTTGGATGTGTTTTTGCAGGGGGATTAAGAGCTAAGAGGTTAGGGGTCGTCGAATGCTGTTGACGGCAGAATGCATAGACATCTTTATGCCATTTTTTTTTTTTATTTTGGGGGGCGGGGCAGGTTTTGGAACTGTGGGCGTTGGCTGTTCTGTTACGGCAACGGTGAAAAACTAAAAATAAACCGGGATGCTTGCGCTACCAACGCACGAGGAGTGCGAATGTACATTAAATATTTTAAATGATATTAAAACTCAAACGTAAACTATTTAAGTAATTTAATTATTATTTTTTTATTAAAAATAAAAAATTTTAATTTTGAGTAACATAACACATGAATGAAATGAAATAAAAAATAAAATATAATTATTTTATATTATGTAATTAAAATAAAAAAATATTTAATTTTTATTAAAATAGTATAATATTTTTAAAAGAAATTTTATGGTTAAAAAAAAAAAGGGGAAAAACCGGGAACGCCTATTTCCATAGAAAAAGCATAGCATTGAAGCTGTTTCTTCGAATGGAAAGAATGAAAAATAGGTTTGAAGTTGATACTATAACTAAGCAACTTTTTTTTTTTTATATAAACTACTATTATTATTTTTATAAAATTAATAATTTTAATAATAAAAAATAAAAATATTTTAAAAAATATGAAATATTAATCAAAATAAATATAAAATATATTTTATATACTTTAAAATGTTAAAAAACCAAAAAATTAACAACTACACTTACACGGCAATACTTTCAAACTAACCCTAAGACTACTAATGTTAAACAAAGGGAGCATATAACTTCTTTCTTCTTTTTTTTTGTTTTGACCGGAGGAAATTGTTAGATTAAGTGTTAGTATCTGTTACTATGTAGGAGAGTCGAATCTTGGAGTTGGATGCATTTCACTTGCTATTTAATAGACAGCATGACCATCACTAGATTACATTTTCACCTGCTGCTTAATGGATAGCGTGGTCACCACTGAGCCACATAAAAGATTGCAGGGAGTATATAACTTTTAAATATTCAAAAATATTACATATATAACTTTTAAGTACACAACTTTATTTACAACTTATACAAGTAAATTTTTTAATTAAAAAAATCAATTATAGTGCTAATTATCACATTAAATTGTATAGTTAATGCATGCAACTTTTTCATTTAGTATTTATATTATGCATTTTTTTTATTTATTATCAAGTATTTTGGAAACAATTTTCACACACTTTGAAGTTATTTTTTTTAAAGTAATCTTAAAAATATTTCCATATATTAACTTGATATATTTAAAAAAATATATAAAATGATATTTATTTATTAATAAATATAATTCTTTACTTATTTATTAGTGGATGTAACCTTCCACTGATTTATAGGCAAATATAACCCTTCAGCTTGTATGACAAGATGGTTGTGATACATGCTTATGATTGGGATTCAACCTCTCTTATTTTCACTTTTAACTCAAGAATCCATGTTTGAAGTTGAACTCCAT